GCTGTGAGGGGTGCAGAGCCCTGGGCCAGGCTGCCCAGAGAGGTGGTGGATTCTCCTTCTCTGGAGCCATCCCAGCCCCACCTGGATTCTGTGGGTCCTGCTGGAGGTGACCCTGCTGTGCTGGGGGTTGGACTGATGATCTCCAGAGCTCCCTCCCAACCCCCACCTCTCTGTGACTATGTCTCCTACCCCTCTACCCCAACCTACATCTCAAACCAGCATCCCCAAACCCACCCTTTGTCCTTAACCCATGTCCCCAACCCAGTGTCCCCAGCCCCCCTGCCCCCATCCAACATCCCCAAACCCACATCCCCTCCTGGTGTCCCCAGTCCATGTCTCCAGCCTCATGACCCCAAACTCTTCCTCAGCCCCACATCCTCAACCTACACCCCCAAGCCAGTGTCCCCAAGCTGATGTCCCCAAGCCCCACACCAGCCCCTGCTCTCTGTGACCTCCTGCCCAAACCCTGCCCTCAAAATGGGGCAAATCCCCTCAAAAATTAAACCATTTTTTGTGTTTCTGCTGCACCACTTAGACACACACGTCTCTGGGGCCAGAGGGGACCCAGCCAAGGGGACTGGAGGAGCTGCTGGAAGTGGCTCCCCCAGCCAGTCCCCACCATTTACCAGCGGTCCTGGCTGACTGGAAGGTCCCATTGACTGGAGGTTGGCAGATGTGACCCCACCTACAAGAAGGTCCTGGAAGGAGAATCTGGAGAACTCCAGGCTGGTCTGACCTTGGTGTCTGAGAAGGTTATGGAACAGATCATCTTTAGACCCATCATGCAGCACGTGCAGGACAACCAGGGGTCAGGCTCAGCCAGGATGGGTTCATGAAGGGCAGGTCCTGCTTGACCAACCAGTGACTATGACAAAGTGACCCACTCAGTGGATGAGGGACAGGCTGTGGATGTTGGACTTTAGTCAAACTTTGGAGACCACCTCCCACAGCTTTCTTCTGGTGCATCATGGCATGGACAGGTGGACTCTGCACAGGGTCAAACACTGATGGTGGCTGGGCCCAAAGAGTTGTGGTGGATGGAGTTCAGTCCAGTGGGTGACCAGTCACCAGTCACCAGTGGTGTCCCCAGGGCTCAGTGTTGGGGACAGTTCTGTTTAGTATCTTCATCCATGATCTAGATGAGGGGATCAAGGGCACCCTCAGTCAGTTTGCAGGTGACACCAAGCTGGGCAGGAGTGTTGATCTGCCTGAGGGTAGGAAGGGTCTGCAGAAGGGCCACCAACCTCCCCAGCGCTCCAGGCTTGGGGCAGAGCAGCTGGGAAGTGCCCGGGGGAAAAGAACCTGGGCAGGTTGGATCAGAGGGGCTGGAGATGAGACAGTGAGTGCCCAGGTGGTCAAGGAGGCCACCAGCATCCTGGCTTGTACCAGCACTAGTGTGGCCAGCAGGACCAGGGTAGGGACCGTTCCCTGTGCTGGGCACTGGTGAGGGGACACCTTGAATCCTGGGGTCAGTTCTGGGGCAGAAAAGGGACATTATGGGGCTGGAGTGTCCAGAGAAGGGACACAGAGGTGGGGAAGGGTCTGCAGCACAAGGAGAAGGGGCTGGAGCACAATGAGACGGGGCTGGAGAAGTTGTGAGGAGCAGCTGAGGACACTGGGGGTGGAGCAGAGAGGCTGAGGCCATCTCGCTGCCGGGATCTGCAGGCACTGGCACCGGCCCGGGGGGGGCGGGGGGGGCCTGGGGGGCGGGTTT